CAAGACTAGATACAGAAACCACACTGCATCATTCCAACACACAAAACACAGAAAGCTCGAGCTCAGCAAACATATCTGAACCCTTAAAGAAATAACATTGACCTCTTTATTTTATGGCACATCCTTTCATCAAGATCACCCTACAAAAACTCAAGCAAAAGAAGCAACCTCTGCCTCAAAGAAAAATTACTTATCATCCACCAACCTGAATTATCATCACTCAATAAACCTAATAAACACGTGTCCTCGTGCCACCACAGAAACAAAGCACTGAAATTTCCCTCCACGCCTTTATGCAAGTTTCTAAATTATGTGAATGATGGTTATAAATATTCTTCATAATAGAATCCCCTGATAAGAGAGTATTCACAAAACAGGCTTGTAGGGATGAAAGTATAGTCTCTGTTTTCTTCCCTATCTCATACATATTGTGCTCATACATATCAAGCACTGTACAACAGAAAAATCAAAACGCAGACTTCCTATCTGTATATCTATGTTTAATTTTACCAGAGGCACAATTGTCTTGATAGTGAGCTCATGATATAGATTTTTAGCAAGCTACAATCAATCTGACAACTAACTTGCCAAGACTTTTCTCTTGTGTTATCTATTGTCCCCTGAGATGACCAGTAAAAAGTCCTAAACCGTTATAGAAAGAAAGAAAGGCAAACTAAAGAAACATCCCCTGTGAGTAAAGTTGTTGATGCAGACTCCTTAATTAATAACACACCTTGGAAACTCCACTCCACCAACAAGGAATTGTTAGTGGTCTCTGAGGATAATCTTGACTCCTATGGAAATTGCACTTTTTCAGTCATTGCTCCCTCACACTGGAACAATCTAACAGACCGAATAAGAACTGCAGCATGCCAAAGTTCCCTTAAGAGTAAAGTTAAGACCTTTTCATTTAGTCATTCCTTTTAGCTTTCAAACACCTCAGATTTGTTCCTTAATTAACAAATATTAACCTTATAGGTAATTTAATTATGTATTAGAATCTTTGAGAGGTGCTTTTGGTCAATTAGTTTGAATAACAATTATCATTACTATTATTATCATTATTACTATGATTATGCAACACCTGATACATCAATAAAGTCATCTTTCTTTGAATCTGACATTGATCCACCAATCAGTGAGTCTAGATCCAACTTGGCTTTATCAGACTCTTGATCAGAAAGCTCAGATGAAGAAAAGGGATTATAAAGGATAAGGATATAAGCCAGTAGATCTAAACCAGTTTTCCTCAACTATCTCTATTATTTAACATGTGGTCAACTTCAATTGTTCTGAAAAGTTCTCTGAAAAATGTTAACTTTGTTGTACAGTTTCTGTTTGACTGCGTGTATAAGACAGTAAGTACATGGTTGTTGATTTGTTTGGCAATGTTTGCTCTACTCTAAATTACTTTAGTGATTCAATCATTTATTTTTTGCTTTCTGCTTGTTCTGTATATTTAAAGCCCTGTGATTTCCTTGAAGCAAGTGTTTTCAAATGAAAAAGCCAGATGGAGGGCGTGGCCACCTCAGACAAACAAATGAAGAAGATTCAGAAATACCATTGTCTAGCCATTGCACAGAATGTTCTGTCAACCTCAAATCCATCAGGTAGTGAGATAAATGTTTACACCATGAAAAAGAACTTGCTAGCCATCTTACACCACTCTATCCAAGCTGGAGATTCAACAAAGGAACACAGATTCTGTCCCCCTGACAAGAACTCCTGGTTTGACTGGCAACAAGAACCTTGACCGATAAAGGGATGCCCCTGGTTTTTGTGGAATTGTTGCACTCCACCTTCGTAAAAATTAAGTTACACAGAACTGAAATGAGTGCATCAATTCTTTGGTTTGGGTTCAATGCCCAAAGCATAAATGTCATGATGTGAAAGTAAATCCCTGTGCTGTGGTTTCCATAGTATTACAATTTTATCATGGAACTGTTAGCTGCTAAAGAAATCATCAAAGACCATCATATTTTTACTCAAACATTTCAATTTTCACTAATTTGTACACTTGTAGATTTTAAAAGCATGTTGTTATTCTAAATAATGTTATTCATAATTTAATCTATGCTTTCCTAATAACTATTATAATTAGCTTTTATCATTATTAATTTTTAAATTTACTCAGAATAGACTTCTAGAAGAGGAAATAAACTACTGCATGGTTACTCTGGGAGACTGGAAAGACACAAAGGCAAAGAAGGTTCAAGTTACCCAACAGGCAAAGCAATTATAATTCAGGCCAAACATGCCGATGAGAAATAAATGCACCCACCCAATCTCCCTACTTGGAGACTTGAGGCTATTAAGGAGCAAATGGTAGACCATGAAGACATTTAGTTAATACTCATCTGAAAGAGGCAATCCCTTCCGCCACACTTACAAGTTTTTACATATCTTTGCCTAATGATCCTTTTTATTCTCTACATTCCCCTTTGGGAGAGCCTTCATGTGTCTGCTTTAAATGCCAAGGTTAATGCTACCACTCAAGCACCAACCACAGTACAGAACATGGAAAACTCAAACCTTCCAAAGACTGCACACAAGAATTGACAGATACAAAGTTAATGTTCTTTTATACCACCTGTGTATGGAAAAGACAGTTCCTAGTTCTAACTTGTCATAAATGATTTTCACTGAGTAAATATCAGTTTTACATAAAGTAGGTCTTAATAAGTAAATTAGACACTAGGAAACATAGATTTTATAATGCAAATTTTATGATGTAGAGTAGTTTTTAAGGACCATGCATAATGTTAAATTTACTAGCTGCAATGTGATATTGTGTGCATATTTTGTGCCTGATAAAGCCATTAAATTTACCAAATAATTATCTGGCTGAGAATTCTACCATAATTAGTCCAACAACAAAGATAAGCCCACACTTTTGCAACCCTCAGACCGCAAATAGCTTTATACCCTAGCCAATCACAGGGACACCATCAGCGACACACATGCCCCAGCCTTGAAATTAATAATTGAATAATTCCACCGCAATTTTGAAGATCAAAGTGCCAAATTTAAGACGGCATTCAGTAGCTGTGTTTCTGGCCACAGCAGAAAATGTTGAAAGGCTAGGCAAAAAAAGCTTGTTTGAGTCTTCCAAAAGGGGGAAGAAAGAGAGGGAAAATGCCATAAATTTATCTAACAGGGATACTATGACTATGTTTGCAGAGAATTTGTTGTCTTTGGAATATTGCATATTGTGACCTTGAAAGATCATTCACTCAGAAGTTTGTCTTTCCAGCTTGAGGTGTTTGTAATCTTAATTACAAACTCCATTTCCTTTGTTGCCGATTTCTAATACCACAGTCTTTAAAGCGATGTTTGGCCTGTGACAATGAAAGTTTCAGCAATAGAAGAGGCAGTTTCATCTATGAAATGTCATCTGAAGCACATACTTAAGCAGTCATTTTTAATTCTTGTTTACCCATTTCAAACCATGTGACGACATGGCTAAAAAGGTTTATTAACTTAGAAAACTCAGAACTCAATGTCTAATTGTTAAACAGGCTATCAAACATTTTATTTGAAAACCAGTCAACTCTAGCACACTGATGCAACCATTAACATCCATTCAGCATACCTTCAAAGCAGACCTATGGCACACAACTATAACCATGCAATTTCATCTTGTTGCAATTTCATCTAATTTGCCAAATTAGGAAATTCCTTAGTCCTTAGTCCTGAGTCCACATAGACTCTTGTTCACGCATTTGTGACTTCACATTTGGACTACTATAATTCTCTTCTCTTTGGCGTCCCCAAGTACCAGAGAGATCATCTTCAGAGGGTGGTTAATGACGCTGCCCGATTAATCTTTAGGATTCCAAAGTTTGATCACACTTTGTCCACCTTATCTCATCTTCACTGGCTTCCTGTGACTTATCACATTCATTTTAAGTTGGTACTCTTAGTTTATAAATCTCTTAACAATCAAGGCCCACAATACATTCAAAAATATCTGCAGCCACACTCCATTTCTGGTCATCAAGTACATTCCAGTGAACAGGGCCTTCTTAAGACCCCAAGAACTAATTTTAAGACCTTTGGTGATCGCACCTTCGCCTGTTCTGGGCCACTCCTGTGGAACAAACTGCTGCTTGAAATTAAAACAGTCAGAGTGTAGCCATTTTTAAGTTTAGAGCTTAAG